TTCCTTGATCCCAACAGGGAGCACAGGGCAAACTCCTCTCACTAAGAGCAGTTCATGTACTGGACAGACTGAACCAGGGAGCAGACATGATGTCCAGGGGAAATTTAGCTCCAGGAGAATGGAGACTACATCCCCAAATGGTTCAAATGATCTGGTCTGGTCTTTGTGAGGGCAGAGGTGGACCTCTTTGCCTCAGAAGACATTTTTTAGAGCTCCGTCTACAAGAAGTCTCTATGCTCTTAAATGGTCTGTCTTTTCTTACTGGTGTGCAGCACGGAATGATGACTCGTTCTCTAGTGACGTGTCCTACGTGCTAACTTTTATGCAAGAGCTGTTGGACAAAGTGTATGTTGTGCGCTCTGGTCCATTTCGGCACTCAGAGCAGCTCTTTGTATGCTTCGGAGGCTGCTCTAAAGGGCTGCTGGTCACAAAGCAGAGACTAACTCGCTGGATAGTGGTTGCTATAGCCCTGGCTTATGCATCAGCGGGAGTGAGAGCCCACTCCACCAGAGGGATGGCCTCCTCCTGGGCTTGGTCCAGCAGAATTTATATTGGTGATATATGTGCGGCCATCTACATTCACCAGATTTTATAACTTGGATGTCCTTGCCCTGCAGGCATGGATTTTGTCCGCTTAATCTACCTAATACCCTTTTGTAAGTGGGGAAGGTTATGTTATGTAGTCCTCGGTCGGGTCTCATAATTAGCTCATACTTACAGGAGAGCCCTAAGTATGGGTGTTCTGGGGCTGGGCTTGCAGAGCGGCTTCATTCTGCACTTGCTTATAGCGATTGGATGTGTTCCCCATAGCGTGATTAACGCAACGGGAGAGACCGTTCGAAAGGGAACACTCCAGCTACTTAGGTAGCCTTGGTTCCTTAAGATAAGGGAAGGAGTGTTGTGTAGGCTGTCGCGCTATGAGGATGTTCCCCATAGCGTGATTAACGCAACGCTCATTCTCTTATCTCAGGAAACCGAGGTTACATAAGTAACCGGTAGATCAAGACCAGGCGAAGACTTTGAAGGGTTGAAACCAAAAGGCAAGACCAAGGCAGGTTAAGACTGAGTCAAAACCAAGACTAGAACAGCACTTCTCAAATTAAGCTGAAAGATCCATATTTACTGCCTGAGAAATGTCTTGATAAAATAATAAAACATCATTGCAGAGGTAAATTTTATGTGTAGGAACTTTCCTTTGGTTTCTATAAGCAAACAAATAAAAACATTAGGAAGCTGAAATTAACTTAACAATCTTTATTCAACAAAATATACAATTTTAAATATGATTAATTATACATTTATACATGAAACAAAAGTAGGTGGTCACAGAATAATTTATTCAACATAATTGTTCAAAGCAGCTTTTGGTGACATATATGACATAATCCCCTGTTAAAGGTACAGTATGTAACATTGAGAGCTAGCATTTGAAATAGGTACTGCAGTCCAAATCCAAAATATTGGAGAGAGTTGTTTTTCCTAGAACATTTTCAATGGATTCCAGGGCTTTTTATGTCAGGTAGAATCTGCAGACTCTGACCCAGTTCATTTGCTGGCCTCCATGGCTGCAATACGCTGTTTTCTTCACCAACTGGCAACCCTGGGTGTTGAAATACTATTGGGTACAATGGCAGTGGGTAGAGTCACACAGACCAAAACAAAAACAGACATTTCGACGCAGAACACAAATTTCAAAGTAAAATAACTGGATGTGGCATTGATTCTCAGAGAAACAAGTCTGTGAACTTAGCATGTTTCCTAAATATTGGCAAAATTATTTAGGTGTTTTTATGCTTTAGTACAGTCAAAAAAAAAAAAGACATACAGCACCTTTTATTTCTGGCCCAGCAAAACAGTAACAAATTAAATAAATTACTTATTGCATATGAAGCAGGAAGTTTTACATCCAGTCACAGTAATGATGTTAACAAACAAGTCAGACAATGCACCAGCAATTAAGTGCCCGGCAGTTAAGGTCTTGACTAGTCTTGAAAAAGGAATCCAAAGTCCTCTTATTCTGAGAAAGAGTACAAATGCAGTTGATAGCAAGACCTTCAAAAAATGGTCTCGAGACCAAGACCAGTAAATTATGTCAGAAGTGCAATTTTTGGGTGAACAAACCCTTAAAGGGGTCCTATTATGCTCTTTTACAAAGTCTTGATTTTGTTTTGGGGGTGTACTAGAACAGGCTCTCATACTAGGTTGTTCGAAAAACACATTATTTTTCACATATTTTACATTATTACAACACCTCTCTCCTCAGTCTGGCATGAACAGCTTGAATCGTTCCTGAATCAAATGAAGGCCCACCTTCTGAAATACGATATGTGCTGTGATTGGTTGGCTGGGCCAGTGTGTGCTGTGATTGGTTGGCTGGGCCAGTGTGTGTTGTGATTGGCAGCACTCGGCGCCTGGTCGGGAAATGTCATGCCCCCCTTACCATAGCCGCCTGCGAGCTTCAGTGTAAATATTGCATCAAAATCAAATAAATTTGAACGCAATTTAAACCCGGATGATTGTAACCACTCTAAGTTCGTCTGCCTTGGGAAAGCTAGCGTGTCTCTGACATAGTGATAACACTCGTTGCCTTCTCTAGTACAGTTCAACCAAGTCTCGTCCTATTCGTCGATATTTGTGATGTCACAAATCCCGGAAAATATGCGTTGGAGTCCAAACGAGTCGTTCGTTGTAATTTTTGAAAAGTGATTTCTGTTAAATAAAATATCTCCTTTTGAATTGGACTTTGAGCGTTGTAACTTTTCAGATCTTTTTAATGCTCAAACAGCAACATTACAGACTAACTAAAGTTGAAAAAATTGAAAACGCATAATAGGACCCCTTTAAAAAAAACCATGAGAATTTTCATCCGCTGTTCTCAAGATGAGGAAGGGCTGACAGCACACATGAAAGGATGTTTGGCCAGCATGCATGGCGGACACTATCTCTCTAATGGCAGAATAATGAGGGACGCTCAGCCATTACACCGCGATAACATCTTGCCGCGGCAGAGATAGCGGCAGACGCTGCCTAACCAGGGGGCATTATGATTTATAAAAAGTGTGGAGGCCTGACAGTTATGGAAGGAGCTCTTCCTTAAAGAAGGCACGAGGCGGAGATGGAAATTGAACAGTATCAGTATGACCAATAACAAACGACAGGACCACTGACTGCACATTAATTATCCACAGACGCTATGGTAATGGGGGCCATTTGCTATGCAAAGCATGGCTTGTCCGGAGCCACAATCAATATCCAGCACTTTCTAATATGTATTCCACCTCGGCTCAGCTGTGCTCTCTCCCTCTCGTTTGTTTTCTCTCTTTTTGAAATGGCTGCAAAATAAAATTGACATTTTACATAATTATGTGTTAATATATATTTTTTTCATGCTTTAAAGTACACTTATTTTGATGTGTTGACTAACATAGTAAGGCACTGTAAAGTATCTACAGCTGTGGCAGTCAGTGAACAATTCTCTGCAATGTTTAGGTTGCTTCCGAAATCGCATACTCTCTGATTAGGTACTTCATTTGAACAGGTAATTGCTTTGTGATCGTTACAAAAAAAGTATGATCTATATATGCGTCGCTTTACTGACATTCATAAATCCTGTCCCATGACCTTATGGATTTTTAAAGTGTCCAGTGGATGTGCACTTCAGTATTTTGCTGCATGGGGGGTTTTGTATACAGTTTTAAGCACAAAAATGTGAGTAGCTCTGCATTCTATTTTCAATCTCACCAAAAATGAGCCCACATCTTTTCGTGTGATCTCATGCTATTCCTGTCTGTTTTGAGCTTACTTTGAGACAGGAGGCAACATGATGCCCGATACCAGGTTACTCCATCCTTAAAATTTTAATCAGTGGTAACAGTAGCATACTCACTCGCTCGCTCACTCACTCTCTCTCTCTGTTTGAAACATAGCCAATCTGGAAGAGATGCCCTCTGCAGTGACTATACAGATCCAGGTTCAGGACAGCCACTGCCTGTACAAACTACACTAACACTAACAAGGACAAAAGGTCACAACTACACTACCATTCAAATTGCAATTCAAAATAACTGTTTCCTATTGTAATATATTTTAAAATGTAATTTATTTCTATGATGCAAAGCTGAATTTTCAGCATCATTACTCAAGTCTTCAGTGTTACATGATCCTTCAGAAATCATTCTAATATGCTGATCTGCTGCTCAAGAAACATTAACATTAATTTGAACTATACATTTATTTTAACATTATGAATGTCTTTACTGTCACTTTTGATCATTTTAATGCATCCTTGATCAATAAAAGAATTTTTACAAAATGTTTTTCTTTTTAATAATACTGCCAAGTTTTGAACGGTAGTGTATATTCATAAAGTTTGTAACACAGATTAAACTGATAACAATTATTCTGTGGTGAAGTAAATACTATGGAAAAAAACAAATGTAATTTTTACATTCAATAAGTTAGTTTAGGCAAAGTTTTTTAAAAGTAAATTCTATGCTAGTAATCAATTCAATTTAGTAGGCATTAAAGTTTGAACTTATATGTATATTTTACTGGAATTGTTTGTTACATTTGCAATGATTCTTTGAGTAAATATTAAAGTATCAAAGTATCAAATGCCCTGGGAATACCAGGATCAAATCATTTCTAGGTTCATGGAATTAGATCTTGAGGCACATGGAAACAACTGAGGAAACAATCCTCAAATATATTCTGATCAAAAATTTAACGTGCTTAGTATTTTTGGAAGGTCAAAACTAAATACTGTACATTTGCACTGATAAAAATATTTAGTTTTTTGCTGGTCTGTCATTTTCATATCAGTGATTTCAGGTTTATTCGTCCTCAGTTGCTGCCTTTCGGTCAGTGTTATTGTGTAGTGGGCAGTTCTTGGACAGAATAAGCTGCAATGAGGACCAAACTTTATTAGATCACTTGCATATTTATCTATAAACAAATGAATCAGTGATTAATCCTATGTGTGTGTTTGTGTGTGTGTTCAGATTCCTCACGGTCAGGGAAAAAAGAGAGTCGGTGTCCAGCGCCTGGTTGTGACGGCACAGGTCATGTGACGGGTTTGTACCCGCATCATCGCAGCCTGTCTGGATGTCCTCATAAAGACAGAGTCCCACCAGAAAGTAAGCACAAAATTCTAAACCTCAGTGCCACATGTGCTTGCATTCGTCCTTTAAACATTTGCTATTTTTCAAGCTGGCATTTATGAAAAGAGGTCGTAATCATTGGTTGACCGTGTGTCTGTATGTGTTTGTGTGATCCAGTCTTCAGTTCATTCTGCATGCCGTCCTCCACAACACACACACACACACACACACACACACACACACACAGGTTTGTTTTTGTGAAAAGTGGGGACATCCCATAGGCGTAATGGTTTTTATACTGTACAAACTGTATGTGCTGTTGCCCTACACCAACCCTACCCCTAAACCTACCCCTCACAGGAGACTTTGTGCCATTTCAGATTTTCAATACACTCCATTCTGTGTGATTTATAAGCGTTTTGAAAAGTGGGGACATGGGGTAATGTCCTGAAAAGTCACCTTCTCCTTGTAATACCTGTCATACCTTTGTCATTATACAAATGTATGTCCTCATTTGTCACAAAAACGCGCGCACACACACACATAAACATCTGCTCATTCCTATGCAATACCTTTTCAGCTCTATAACTTTAAATTTTCTGTACTTTAAGAAAGTGTTGCTGAAACAGGACATAATTTTTAAAAAATTATTATTTTAATTTTTTATTTTAACCACATTCCAATAGCCAGTGATATTCAGAATACTGCTTACTTCCAAATTCAAAATACTACAAAAAATACTTATTTTTACACCGGATGGGGGGACTGGGGATGTCTTGGGACAGTCTCCCCCTACAATATTTTGCATTAAATTAAAAAACAAACAAAAAATAAATAAATAAAAACATGAAATTATGGTTACACTTTACTTGAAGGGGTGTGCATAAGACTGACATGACACCT